AAAAACTTAAAACTTTTTTTTGTATTATTGAATTTGATTGGCTGATTTTTCATGTTCGGAAAGTTAGGTCAGATTTCGGGTTGCACAAATTTTTCCGATTTGCCGAAGATTCGAAAAATAGATCACGTGACCTTTATTCATTTTAATTGGCTAATAAGCCAGAGATATATAAGTTATATATCTCTGGCCAGAGATACTTAGAAAAACCCATTATATTTATATAATTGATTTGACCAATTTGACTAGTAAATTTTTGGTCGACCAATAATTTGCCCAACACTGATTACAATATATGCAAAAATGATATTATTTAATATATTTTAATTCATTTTTTTAATTCATTATTTAATATATATTTAATTCAAAAATTATCATGGATGAAAAAACTAGATTTGATTTTCTTCTGAAATATGCTGAAGATGGCAATTCTGATACACAATACGCTATTGGACTCTGTTATGATAATAGTGGTATAGACAAAAATGAAAAAAGGCAATCTGCTGCAGGTGGTGATTTGTTTGGACAATTTAGTGTTGGATTCTGCTACGAAAATGGCATAGGCACAGACATGGTAAGAAAAAGTATTTGAGTGGTATTTGAAATTTGTCGAAAAATAGAAATCATTTGAATATGCTACAGAAATGGTATAGGCACAGACAAGGATGAAAAAAAGGCGGTTGAGTAGTATTTGAAATTTGCTAAAAAGATGGCAATTTGGATAGACAATTTAATATTGGGTTCTACTACGATAATGGCATAGGCAAAACTAATGATGAAAAAAAGGCATTTGAGTGGTATTTAAGATTAGCTGAAATGGTAATTACATTGGACTAGAGATGTACGTACCTTGTACAAAACAAAACTAGCATATATTCCACAAATCATATGACTTCACATGAAGTGTAAGGTGGTGTCATTCAAGGCAAAATTCTGAGTTCAGTAGATTCACATACTTTAATATAAATTATCACTAATCATTAATTGTTAAGTTTATTTATTGATTAAAGATTTATCTCGCACAAAATATGATGAATAATTTGCACGAGGATGATGTCATTACTTTTGGCGAGGTACATCTCTATATTGGACACAATGAAGTTGGATTATATTATCCAAATGGTTATGGAATATCATCTAATTGAGAAAAGGTTATTAAATGGCTACAATAATTTTCAAAAGATAGTTGATTCTGAAAATCTTGATAATTCGTTGAAAAAATTATTATTTGGCAAATTTATTAACTTCATGGATTCCATTTAAATTAATTAGAATTTCTTGATAATATCATGAAAAGGTGGATTTGCAACTGGGTATACTGCTTATTGGAATCATACAAGTTCAAATGTTGTGCTTAAATTATTTAATGAACCAAAAAAAAGTTATGAGTCTTCTATATAAAATTCTGAATGTGATAAAAATTGGGTATAATAGAAATTTATTGGAAAGTATAACTGATGTATACATGTGTAAGCAGCTAATATTTCAGTTATACTTTTCCTGCAAATTCTTTTCTATACCTGCTATTACATACAGTTAGCTGACATATTTTAAAAGATGCATACATAATAGTCAAATAAATAGACACATCTAAATTTATATATAAAACTTAAAAAAGTTCTTTTTTAATTTACTCGTAAGTGAATATAAATTTTCTTCAAAATTTTCTTTTGAGATTACTCCCTTATACAAAAGTTGAGTATTAGTTGAAAGTAAGCCTGAAAATAATCTTAATCTCAAAGTTAAACAATTCTTTTTATATTCTTTGAATCAATGACTATAGTTGTTAGACAAAACCTTTTTTGCATGATAATGAAAGACGAAACCTCTGACGAAAGTTGAAACCTCAAATTCTTCTGATGAAAGACGAAACCTTGTGCTCAAAAAGACAAAACACTAGTGCTTCTGCTAAAAAAAAAAAAAATAATAAATGTTATTTTCGTTGAATTAACATTCATATTTATTTAGTGAAATTACATGTATGCCAGCAAAATAAACCTGCTCATTTTTTTTAGACAACGCAAGGGTTGATAGACCGGTTGAAGTGACCTTGCCAAAAAGCTATAGTACTCATAAAATAACACAAATAATGAATTAAAGCATACTGGTACAAAATAAATTTGAAAGATCACAAAGTAAGTACCAAGTGATTTCTCGCTAGAACTGATATGTAGTGTACTAGTATAATATAATATATCTAACTCCCTTTAAACATTTTATAAATTTATGTTTTTGTTAGTTTATTTTTATATATATAATCAATGATTTCTAACAATATTTATTTGTATATTCGTTTTTATTAGATTTGTCACTCTTTACAGTTTCGTCAGTTTTGTCATTTAAAATTTTAAACAAAACTAGGTTTCATGTTTCGTCATCGCGAAATCTTAAGATTTCGTCTAACAACTATATCAATGACTGACTCTATAAAACATTATATGATTGAATATACTGTAATTGCCATTTTGTGAATTATTTAGGCTACTGTAGCTTTATGACTATTTCTCAAATATATGAACCCTTTGTATTTTCGCATTTAGAAGTTTATTAAACAAAAAAAATAATCCAATATAAATTATAACAAATTGCTTTAATATTATATGATATTCAACATAGACTAAACTTTGATACTATATATTAAAGAAACAACCATTATGTATAACTTAATTAATTAATAAATATATGATTATGGTTACTTTATTGATACTTAATGTTCAAGTCTAACGAAATTATTACAATTGATGAACCTATAATAAAATTTGCTAACTTATATTCAAGATAAACTATTATTTTATTCAAAATCAAGCAATTAAATTTTAAATTTAATTTAGGTTCAATTTTAGATATTGAATCTAAATTAGGATCAGTTAAACCAGGCTGCTTCACATATTAAACTTTTCGAGTAACTTGTCGTGGCCACAATGATATCTTTAGAATCAAGTGATTGAATTCTACGTTTGCAGTGAAACTGGACATTTTGAAAGTTTCATAGTGGATCATAAAATTGTAGTCATAGTATATCTTGTGTAATAGTCTATCTATTTTTTTTTTTAAAAAAAAAAAAAAAAGTAAAGATTAGTAAAATTACTAGTTACTATTATGTGGCCTATTACCCAAAAAAAAAATTTTTTTTAATTATGCTATTGACACTCTCAACCCAAAATACTTCAAGGTAAAGAGCCAGTACTGATGCTAACACTTGTCAAAGAGCCAGTTATGAAAACTTAGACACTCTTATCAAGCCAATAATCACTAATAGCCGACGGCAGTCAGAAATAAACCAAGGTTATAGCGTTACTTCAATCAAGGAAGGTACGTAACCAACTCTTTCTTCAAAATCAGCAGACCTTGACGAGCAGTAATCACAATCTAATATCCCGAAATGTGGTTCCAAACATAACACTAACCTTTTTTTTTTTCTTGTAACGTTAAAAGAGCAGGATTTGTACAAAATTTGCATTGAAATACAGAACGAGTTTTTAAAGAACCGGTTTCTGAAAGCTGTTTTGCTTCTTTGATGAAAGTTTTTAAAAGTTGGTTACTGGTAAATTTATCACAGTTTTTATTTGAAAGTCTGGTGGATTTAAGTAACTTATTTAATAACACCGTCTTGCACCACTCACATATTGTTAAAAAGATGTAAAGAAATTAAAAACACATTTTCACCAAGATTATTTGCTAATGCCTTAGATCCGAGACAATACATGTAGTTAAAGTACTATTTTTAAAAAGTGCACCAGACAGTGCTTTACTTAAAGTAAAAAAAAAGTTTGTACATACAAGGGGTTTTGAAAGAGTTGTAAGTTGTCTTTAATAATTTTTTCGTGTTTACATTGTTTACATTAGAATACAGGAATATGGTTACACTAGATCATGATTCTCTGTGCTGCAGAAATCACAGAATCGGGTTGTGAACACGAAAAAGGTTGCAGGTATCGTGGAATTCTTGCAGATTGCAACTTTTCTCAGTCCCGTGACCTTTAACCAATCAAACCTCAAGAATGTATAAGTGAGAGCCAAAAAATCTATGACACTATTGCTATGAAATTATTTCTGGGTTAAGTAATCCATCAGATGATCTATTAAACAAATGGGCAATTTACAAGATGATTGACTTAATGAATATTGGTTAAAATTTATCTCAAATTGCTCTTGATTATATCTGGTTACCTATTCTTTCATGTAGTGTAGAGCGAAGCTTTTCCAAATACAATCCAATTATAGATAGCAATCGATAAAATTTATCAGAAAACTCTTTAAAATGTTTAAATATGTTGTATTTTAATGGTAGAATTAGTGAATAAATATTTATTATTTATTACAATAAAAAAAATTTAATTACAGAATATACATATTTTCTATATAATTAGCGCAGAATCTTTAAATAATTTATCACGGAAAATGCGCAGAAAGACAATTTTTAATGCACGGAATTTTTGCAGAATTTAGTTTTGTCACGGACGGAATTGGTAATTTTTCACCGCAGAAAATCATCGTCCCTGCACTAGATGCATTGATACGTATACATAAATTTTCAATACATCAAAAACGTCACTTAAGTATCTTATACATTCAAGAAAAAAATTTTTAGGGAATCATTTGTTCAAAGAATTCTAATTTACACATAATTCTATATATTATTTGGAAAACCCTACCTTAAAGGTTTTCAGAAATATCGTGTATGGTCAGGGACCGTCTAATATTTGGATATCAAATAAAAAAATTAATTTAAAAATTTGGACATACAGTATATACATATTCTATCGTTACATTATACAGTACAAAATGTTTTATATTCAAAACTTAACAAACTTTAGTTGCTTAAAAAATTGTAAAATTTGGCTAACGTTAAAAAAATTGGGTAAAATTTGACTAACATTAAATGTTTGGGAAAATTTGGGGTAAAAGAGGTAAATATTTGATACGTTAAAGTTTTATAGATTTAGTTACTATAATTCATTGCCTATTTTTTTTAATTTTAAAGTTAATTGCATATTTAAATATCGGAACTAAAAATCCTACATTTTTACTATGCTATGGAATATCAAAAGATGAAGGTATATTTTAGTTATGCAATGAGCAATATGGGATCTTTTACGTGAGAATCTTTACAAAGTTGCACAAATTAAATGGGAGAATTATTATCTTATATCGCATTCGATCTTAAATTAATTCATTCGAATAACATTATTCATTATGATTTACATAGTGGTAAGATAATTTACATAATGCTTATATCGGTGATTTAGGAATTGCAATATCAGCTAATAAAATGTTAGATAAAGAATCAGGAGGAATTTATGGAGCTTTACCGTACATGGCACCAGAAGTTTTGCAAGGAAAACCATTAACTAAAGCATCAGATATTTATTCTTTTGGAATGATTATGTGGGAGATTTCTTCAAGAATTATTGTATTTTCAGACTATAAAGATGACAATTTAAGATTAGCACTGGAAATTTGTGAAGGTTTAAGACCAACTATTATTAAAGGCACAGTAGCATGTTATGTAAATCTTTTGAAGAAGTGTTGGGATATTTCATGAAATTATTTCAAATGGAAAAATTGTGCAGAAACTTTAACTGAATTTTTAAAATCTGATAAAGAAATGGTGATCGAAAATAATGACTTAAATAATATAGAAGATATATAGTATAATTTATAATATTAATTTATTCGAGTAAAGTTTATTCAAAAAAAAAAAATGCATACGTTGTATATACCTCAGAAGTCGATTTTTTGGCCAGCATTAACTGATCAACATTAATTGGCCTAAATTATACTTTAATCCTTACCCTAATTCTAACTTAGCAATATACGTACGTACGTACTATATTTCAATCATCGATTTCATCCAACAAATCATAGTGACAGCCTTCATTATAAGCTGCCTTCTACTTTATAATCACAAACTCGTCATAGGTTATTATTTGCGTCATTACGATAAAAAAAAACATCAACTGTTATGACAAAAGTTGTAACTACCGTTTCGGGAATTATGAACTCTAGACTCGCCCTCGTATTAATATGGCATACGGTGTAGTTTTGTTTTTTTTCCCTCAGAATAATTACGATAAAAATCATAATTATAGATTTCTGTCTTCTCACCTACAAACATGAATCAAACGACGAAGTGATTTAAATCGGTCAATCAGGCAATGTCTTCACGAGTATACAGTAATAGTAATAAAAGTAGTAAATTTCCTCTATAGTTTCGAGGTTATTTCGTACAGTGAACTTTATCGTGTGTTTAAAGTTGAAGATACTTTTTATTATCATTTATAATTAGTAAAACGATGTATATCCGAAAGATGCTTTAGTGTACGTATATAAAAAGTTATCTAATAAAAAGTTATCTACTGTAAATAATTTATAGTATTAATTCTAATAGATTATAATAGAGATCTCAAAGGCATGCTCGAATTATCGTGCTTTTCAAATTACCAATCACACAAAAATCCGAATTCCTTTAAATTTTTCATTTCTTAAAAATTGCCACTCAAAAAGTCACAATTCCAAAGATTCCTTGTCGAATTTTAATTCAGTAAATTATCCATTTATTATATGTCACGGTTTATCTTGGACTACCGTGTACTTCTTGGCTTTACTATCGGTCTTTACTCGCTTGGCTAATTTAATCGATGACCGTGTATCGTACAGGTCCTTCCACCGATAATAATATGCTCACACAGGTAATACAGTTTATTCACTAAGATTGTTTTCACTAAGCGACCTCAAAGCTATCCAAGCTCACGAAGTTCAAAAGCTTACAAGCTAGGTACTTTCCCTTTCGGGATCGATACCTTATATTAATTACTAATCGCTATTTTGCGTCACTGATTATTACATACTTTCCCATCGCTTATGCAATCGCTATTATTACTAATCGCTAATGATTACCACATTGTTCATGCAATCACTATTTTAACTTTTAATTAATTCCATGCAACCCCGAATCACGCCATTCATGCAAATCCCGATTATGATCCCTAACCTTTGCGCTACGAATTCCCGGGGCACTAAAGTCGACCACGACATTATAATATCTTGTAATTGTCTAATCATGGAGCACTAATATTTTTAGCTTTTTTATCTAAATTTTCTCAAACTTCAAACGAATTTATCTTAATAATGTTTGCTCATTATCGATATCCGAAGCTATTTCCAAATTCTACTGACTAGTAGAATTTAAAATGGTCTTGAGCATTGAGATCGACAGGGCCATTATTGAGAAATCTTCAATCTAATTTTAGTCAATTACAGGCTTGCATTTAGTAGACCAAATTTCCCGTAATATGAAATTTGCTATCACAGTATAATTTTTATAAAAATCTCAATTCGTGCTTCTGTACTACACGATATACATATACAATATATATATACAATAATATAATAAATTTTTTACTTTTAAGGGTTATGTAATTTAGCGCATACGTATGCGCTGTAACGCACCCATCCGATTAACCAATCAGATCGTAAGATCGGGTGTAACGTGAAATCGGCGATGTTTCTAAAAAATCGCTTGTAGCTCAAAATTTTGCTTATGCAACTGCCTTTCACATTCTAATAAAAAAAAATTCCTCGCAAAATTTTGGGTTAGAACCTTCTTGCTAAAACGCCCTCGCCCTCACCCTAACCCTAAACTAACGAATTAATTATCGGTTTGATCTCACGTTACACCAGATCTTACGGGTACGTACATACGTCACAACGCACATGCACCAAAAGATATAATTCTCAAAAGTTACTATGGATGAAAAAACTAGATTTGATTTTTTTCTGAAATACGCTGAAGATGGCAATTCCGATGCACAATACGCTATTGGACTCTGTTACGATAATGGTATAGGCACAGATAAGGATGAAAAAAAGGCATTTGAGTGGTATTTGAAATCTGCTGAAGGCGGCAGTTCGAGTGGACAAACTAACGTTGGAATCTGCTACGCAGATGGCATAGGCACAGACAAGGATGAAAAAAAGGCATTTAGGTGGTATTTGAAATCTGCTGAAGGTGGCAATCCGCATGGACAACATAATGTTGGTTTTTGCTACGATAATGGTATAGGCACAGACAAGGATGAAAAAAGGCATTTGAGTGGTATTTGAAATCTGCTGAAAGCGGCAATTCAGCCAGTCAATATAATCTTGGAGACTTCTACATAAATGGTATAGGCACAGACAAGGATGAAAAAAAGGCATTTGAGTGGTATTTGAAATCTGCTGAAGGTGGCGATTCGAAGGGACAATTTAATGTTGGATTATATTACGTAAATGGCACAGGCACAGACAAGGATGAAAAAAAGGCATTTGAGTGGTATTTGAAATCTGCTGAAGGTGATAATTCAAGTGGTCAATATAATCTTGGAGACTGCTACATGAATGGCATAGGCACAGACAAGGATGAAAAAAAGGCATTTGAGTGGTATTTGAAATCTGCTGAAGGTGGCGATTTGGAGGGACAATTTAATGTTGGAATCTGCTACGGAAATGGCATAGGCACAGGCAAGGATGATAAAAAGGCATTTGAGTGGTATTTGAAATCTGCTGAAGGTGACTATTCAATAGGTCAATATAATCTTGGAGACTGCTACATGATGGCATAGGCACAGACAAGGATGAAAAAAAGGCGTTTGAGTGGTATTTGAAATCTGCTGAAGGTGACGTTTCGAAGGGACCATTAAATGTTGGAATCTGCTACGAAAATGG